TACTACTACTACTAATAATAATAATACTACTATTTACTACTACTACATTGTTTCTTTACTATTCATCATTATTATTACTACTACATACTATTTTTCAACTAATAATAATAATATATCAAAAATGCAATAAATTTTATTTGACTTTTTTTCTTTATCAAAAATGCTTTTTCTTTTGTTCTTAAGCTTAAGCAGTTATAATGAGATTCACCAATAAAAATGATTTCTATTGAAAATGAAAGGAGGAGGCAAAGTGTTTTTGTCAATGTCTACTATTCAACTGAAGTTGTTCACCCCCCCTACTGAGAGCGGGGGGGAGTGTGGGGAGTTTCTTCATTATTCTTTCTCAACTCACCTACCACCCACCTTCTCATCATCTACCTTTTTTAAATATTCTTTTTATTCAGAACTACCTCTCAAGAGTTGGATAAGGAAGGTGAATGTGTTGGCAGGGAATGCTGTTCACAGCAAAGGCATTGTTATAAATTTGGTCTGACCAGTTTGAACTTAGTTATGCCAATCTCAGCCTAAAAGAAGAAATTTGTCATAAAAATCAAGTTGATCAGGATTTGAATTAATGGACCTATTGATTCTCTACCTGTGCCCCCTCTTTTGTACATATAGTTGTTGCCCCCAACTCCCTTATCAGTTAAATAAGTACGTCCATGAAAAAAAAAATCATCAGCAGTTGGTTAGGAAAGGAAATGTTTATAGGTGGGTAAACACTACTTTTGGTGTTTTTTTTTTTTTTTCTTCTTGGTAATTTTTTTTTTGTTAGTTGTGGGGGGGGGGCATTAAAAATTGCTTTCTTTAGTTGATGACAAGTAAACGCTTCAAATAACTTAGTTTTGTAAGTTTTTGATTATGTTAACTCTGTATTTTATCATCTTGGCTGTAGTTACCAAATAAAGGATATCAAAAGCTGGGGCCTCCCTCTCCGCTCCCAGGTTTATTGTTTGTGAATGCCAATTGGATTGGCTGTGAGGCTAATTAAGGTGATATGTATCTTGTCTCTCCCCATTGGAATACTGAGCTTGGCTCTGGACTCCTGGGTTTTGGGTTGAGTGGGCTTTGCCTACAGGACTGGCTTAAGCAACTGCAGTGAATTCTCCCCTTGCCATTAATGAGAGGGAATGGGATCACTTATCTGCTCTCAATTTGGTACAGCAGCAAGACACCGTTCATCATTGCATGCATCTTTTGTCCTTGTTTTCACAAATGAAAGCAAACAACTAAATTTCTGTGTTTAGCATGATCAACTTTGTTCATGTGGGACAGTTATAAAGAGGTAAAAAGGTCAAATTTAAGAAGAAAATAGTTTTTTTTTTTTTTTCTTTTTTGTTTGTTTGTTTGTTCGTTTGTTAAAAATCTTCCTAAAATAAATGTCTTCATGGAAAAATTTAAATTCCTTTTGCAAATAAATATTAAGGTTTCTTAATCATTTTTGTTTTTTTTTGTTTTTTTATTATTCTTAGTTATTCTAAGAATGGTTGAGACAACTGAATTAATTACTTTGGTGTGTGTTTTTTGGGTTTTTTTTTTTTTTGTTTTAAACATATATATTAGATTTTGGTAGATTCATTATTCAGCCTTTGTCATGTATGAAGAACAACAAGGAACGATTCCACGCATATACACACACACACAAACACACTATGACAATTAGGATGTTAAAGATAATTTTATTTTTTATTAAGTAAATTCATCTTATGATATCCAATTAGTCATTTTCTTCCTCCATTGTACTAAAATATAAGAAATGGTATTGTAAGCAAATATTCTTTCATAAATTGTGAATAAAATTTAAACCTTGTCTAAATTTAAATATAGTTCACAAGGCATTTTGAATTTAATAATTTTTACCTCTCTTCAGTTATTTCTATAATAAGGCATCTTATAAGCGACTCTGTGATTTTTTTTTTTTTTTTTTTTTTAATTTCAGAATTGAAAGTAGCCATAGTAATTAATTAGTGTATAAGCAGTTGGTTGAACTCCACATGGCCATGTGACTGACTTTCAGTATTGAAACCTTTGTTTAATTAAAACTTCTCTTTGCTGATCAGTAAATGTTTCTCATTTCACACCCTGACTCCAAAGCTTTACTTGAACACTTGTTAGCCTCTGGTCACCTGCTACATTTACACTGTCCCTACTATTTTTTTTTTTTCTTTGTCCAGGCTTCACTTTCCCTTTTTGTTTATTCTGCCCATTTTATGGCTGAAGGTTGGCGAGAGGTAGTTCTTTGTTTCTTTTTTTACATTCCTTTCCATTGCTTGATACCTTGTTGATTTTGTAAATATGTTAATTAACATTGGAATATTGACAAATTCATGACTTTTTTTTTTTTTTTTTTTTGTTTGAAAAGGCAAATTAGATACCAGAAAGCACTCTTAGACACTGATTTATTAAAACTGTTGTCCTCATCTTATAGTCACAATGTTTCTTTCCTGTTGTACTTTTTGACCTTTTTCAGGTGGATTTTTTAATACTTTATTCAGTTCTTGCTTTTGGCCACATGTTGGAACATTGGTTCCTGTACAATCACCAAAGTTAAGCGACATTGAGCCCAGTCAGTACCTAGATCAGGGACATCAGGTACTGTAAGTATGAATGTGCAAGTGGTCTAATGGGTTGGATTGTTAATTGGAGAGCTGAGTTCCAATTCCAGTTGGGTTCGTTATTATTCACTTATGTGTAAAATACCCTGTGGAAAGGTATGAACCTACCTCTTCTCCATCTATGGATTAATTACTAACGCTTGTATCATAAAATCATTATCTCAAAAAAAAAAAAAATTTTACAATCTCTAAAAATTCTAAAAATATTTTCTGGCTTTAAATAACCTGCAAAGTGTTGATAAGCTAAAAAATCAATCAATTTATTCAGTTTATGGTGGGGAGCTAGCCTGTTTTGCATTCCACTAAAGAGAAATACAATAGAATTGAGCTTCATAAATTCAGACAGAAAATTATCTGAAAGTAATTTTTTTTTTTTTTTTTTCCAGTGTTACATGCATTTATTATTATTATTATTATTATTATTATTATTATTTAGTAGCCTACAGAGAATTATGATCTCAATGTCCTCATCTTTATTATCACAACATTTCAGTTGTTAAGCTCTCCAGCTTTTTTTCAGGTGCTGGTCAATCTTCATGACCTTCAGGGAATTTCAAACGAAACCCTTTAAGAGTATCCTTGTTCTACTCTCCATGTTTTTTTATTTTTATTTTAGAGTGTGGTTCACCCTGTACAAGACCTGGGTACCAATTGTGGTAGAGGGTTACAGAGTAAGAGGCACAATTTTTGAGGATACGTGCAGATGATAACGGTTAACCCTAGACTTGAACAGGTTAAGA